GAGCGGGACAAAAAGTGTGTGTGCTGGGTGAGCGGGGTCCCCCATGATGCAGGTGGCCCCCCCTCCTGCATCCGGAGGTGCAGATGTCTGTGACGGTGGGGAGACCGACCCCGACAGACTTCAGTTTTAGCTTTTTCATAAAGTGCTGCTACAACTTTTTGGCTGAAGTGTTGATGTGATGTCGTAGCGGGGCTCAAGAACTTTAAAGTCGGCGCATCAACAACATTTGGACGTAGATCCATAGCTTTAAAAACTCCTACAGCTTGTGTTATTGCTCTGGACCGATCTGAATTACCTGATAAAGGTTGTTTAAATGCTGCTGTTATTGCTCTTTGCAACAAGCTGCTTTTCTTGCTTGTAGAAGAGACGTTCACGTTCGGATGACGTCGTTTCAAGCGCGTTAACAAGTTAGACGTGTTGCTGCTGCAGATCCAATCTCTGTGAAACAACATCGACACACAGCTTTAGATTTGTTCACTTGTCTTTTAAGAAGAAAGCCATAATGTTCCCAAACAGGAAACCGCAACGAGAAGCTAAGCTGCTAATGCTACGCGTGCTTCAAGCTAATAGCGCCGTGCTGAAGCACGCTGAGGAACTTTAGTTCCGTGGCGCATAATCTCGTTAATAAAATTTAATGAGTGAAAAAATAACCGAATCGGTACGCACGTGGACCGAACCGGACGTGCCGTACCGAAACGGTTCGGTACACCCATGTGTACTGTTACACCCCTGGTGTTAACAGTCTGGGCCCTAAGCGGATTTACTGGTGTGAAGTTTGATGTTACTGCTAGAGGCCTGCATTGTCTTAAAATTACAGATATGTAGAAGATGCCAAGTCATTATGTCCATGTATATTGCATTCTTATTAATTATAGCAGACATGTTTGTGCTTGGTAATGAAAATTAACAACGCTACCAAGCATAATACATTGTAATACATCCAAACTAAAAGTTACAGTAGCTGCAGTGACATTAAAAACATTTTTATTTTTAAATAAAAATACAAACGTTTGAGAGTTTCTTTGCCAGTGCAGCACTTTGTTTGAAGTGCACTGTAAAAAAAACTTTAAAAAAGCCAGATAGTTTTGGCACTTTGCCCCTTCTCCTACATGACACCTCTGAACGTGTGAAGTTTAGGGGTAAATATGGATTGAACCATAACAACTTTTTCAAACAAATGGTAGAATTTCTCAGTAAACACAACTTGTGTTTGAGACATGTTATCTAAAAAAAAAAAAATCCTGCTGCTTGTCTCTTATTCAAACTTTGGTGTCTAGCATGACAATACTTTTCCAAGGTAATCATGTCTGCCATCTAGACTGTGTCAGTAATAAACATTTTGGATGGTCTCTTCTTGCTTTCTCAGTATTTATGCAAGAAAAAAATCAACAATTTTTTGTGATATTTGTGATTGTGAAAGCAAGAGAATCGTTGTGAACTGAGAGGAAAAATAAGTTGGTGCCTGAATGAAGTAGGGCATTGCTCATACACTCACCTACTGGTAAATGTGGCCTAACTTTGGAAAATTTAAATAATTAAGACTCTTATTAAAACATTATCAATGTTAACCCCATCAGCACCAATGAAGACTTACAGTCCTAAGCAAAGGATTATTGTGATGCAAGAGTAATTAATACTGATGTGTGGAAAACAGGTTTAAAAAGGGACTATTCAAAAGCCCAATAACAAAGATAGAGTTTATTAAGGTAATTAAAGACACCATTATAGCCACAATTCCACAGGTTTTAAATTAAGCATGTTTTCCACTCTTTTCAATAAATTAATAGAAAATGTTATTTTTAATATATTGATATTGTTACAGTTTGCTTTTTATGTTTAATTCACAGGAATATCCATGTGAATGTACACATGCAAGGTTTCTTCTTTAGGTAAACAAACTGATGGATTTCTCTTATGGTAGTGTGTCAAACAGGGCGTAGTCCCAGCATCATCCTTCAGTTTACATTCGAATGACTGGTCTGGGCAGTTCAACCCTTGAAAAACTGGAACCATTTTATTTATGCAAAAGAACATGCATTGCTTGTTTACCTTGTAACCGTAGTTTAGTTATGTATGCTTCCTCTGTGGTCCTGACTTAGGCATGGGGTTCATATGAATTCCTCAGTGAACAGATCATTTTTCATTCGTTCAACCTTTATTTAGACTGGTAAATCCTATTGAGCCTCGAGGACTCATTTACAAGAGAGACCTGATTTCAACAAAGAATGATGACAACAATGCACAACAGCGACAACAATAAACAGTTATAAAAAGTCATACTCCAGTTTTTTTTTTTTTTTTACAAATAGGATGGCTAAAAGAAGAAGGTAACAAAAAAAACAGCTAGATTCTAAGGCGAATGTAGAAAACTAAAAACAGGAACATGTCTGCATTGGTCCCTGCCAGGAGTCCAACAGATTCTTAAAGCCACTTAAGAATTAGCTTTGGGAAAACGTTTTCGAAATGTCCCTGTTGGATAATAAATCTAGTGACAAACAAACTTGGGTATTCGTAGATTTGCATTAATTTAGTATCTGTGCTACGAGCAACATGAATGTTTTTCTCGTTTTTTGCAGAAATAAAATTTTATGGGAGACTGTATGATTTAGAACAGCAAACCAAATAAACCAGTAATTCAGACCAAACTGTGCAGGAGTATAGATGCATTTAAAACAAGTGACTCTGACCATTTGGATTGCAAAGACTCGAGTTTGTCCTTTTTAAAATATTTTTCTCCCCGCACCATCCTTCCGATTAACTTTAGGTCATGTATTTTACAATAAAAGTTTTGGTGGACATCTTCAAGTCAAAAAGCAACCATCTTGAGAAAGTATTTATTCATAACGAGGAGATATTGCTTTTGAACCCCTTCACTTACTTGATAATTAGCTTGTACTGTTTGTTTAAGCTCATTGTCTCCTATTACTTTTGTATATGATTTAAGAAATTTTCAAATATTACACTGTCATGCTCGTTCCAAGTTTTCTATAAAATTTTCACATCTTGCATGCTTATATATTTGTTGTTTCACAGTCAGTGGTGACTGTATGCTAAAAAAGTGTCTCTTGGTTGTAGTTATTTTATTTGTTCTTTTAAACTTGTTATCTAGGTGTCCAAAAACTTCTTTAAAAAGACTTCAGTTAATCCAAAATGCTGCTGCCAGAGTCTTAACTGGAGTTAGTGGGAGAGATCATATCTCTTTAGTTTTAGCTTCTCTCCATTGGCTCCCTGTCAAATTCAGAATTGAATTCAAAATTTTGTTTTTAACCTACAAGGCTCTCGATAACCTAGCTCCGTCTAATATTAGCAATCTTATTCTCTCATATTTTCCTAACAAAGCAGTTTGCTCTCAGACTGCAGGCTTACTTGCGGTTCCTAGAGTTTCTAAGAACAGAATGGGAGGAAGATCTTCCAGTTATCAGGCTCCTCTCTTGTGGAACCAACTTCCAGTTTCTGTCCGTGAAGCTGACACATTATCCAGTTTTAAGTCTTTCTTTTTTGATAAATCCTATAGTTGGGGTTGGCTTGTTATGCTGCCATAGGCTTAAACTACTAGAGGACAAATTGACCCAGTTTCCTTAAATGAATAGTTAACATTGAATAGTTTTCATTTGATACTATTTCTATCTTAACATGTGACTCTTGACCTGCCATTGTGTATCTATTCCTCCTTCCTGTTCCTCTCAAACCCAGCCGGTCAAAGCAGATGGCCTCTTGTTTCTTCCTCATGAGGGAGTTTTTCCTTTCTACTGTCGCCTTCATGCTTGCTCAAGATGAGAGTGTGATGAAGTTAAACTCAAAGCAGTCTGCTCTTCAGATAAATAGTGTTATTGACTTACATTTTTTATTTTTATGAATGTTTCTGTTCACTGCCCTGAGATGACTTCTGTTGTGACTTGGCACTATATAAATAAACTGAATTGAAATTGAATTGAATTAAACCGAATGGTCTTTTTTTTTTTACTTGGTTTCAACTTGTTCTACTTAAATGTCCAAATGTCTATGGTTGTGGTATGTAACATTAACATGAAGAGCCTCTGAGATTTCCACTCCCTTTAACTTCTCTGTTTCAGTAAATCACAAAAGAAGCTTCCCAGATTGTGAGCAGGCTTCATGATTTCTCAGTTTTGGCTAATGTTTCTGCACCATTTTATGACTCCACCCTTTTAATTAAGTAGTGTTTGTGCTGCAAGTGTCCGGAGTATGATGAGACGTGACTTTTCCCTGTGGCCTCACTTCTCTCCTCTCTGAGGTATTTCACAGTGGCCCCTCAGTGGCAGCCTGAGCAGATATAATTAGGAAAGGTGCAGTCGATTAAAGAGAAGGTGTTGGCTATTGCCCAGTGATGTCTGTGGGACTGTGGAGCTCGAGAGTTTGCATGTGGATGCTGATACATCCATTCTTGTGGTGATCATTGCTTGTTCACTTTTATCTACATCATAACATGAGCAAGCGACACATTAACAAATTGTACTGGGGCATTTTTTTTCTGTAGCTGTTCTCTGGAAGCTAAACCCCACAGCTCTGAAGACGTTGGCTCATCTCGGATTGCTTCAGCTGCAGGGAAGAAAAACTCAGTCAATTAGGAGCGTGTGACCGAAGCAAATGGCACATTAGTGAATTAGGGCTGCGGTTTGAGCAGGAAATAGGCCCAGCTTGCTCCTGCTGTGCAGCAGCACTTTGGAGCCACTGACTCAGTGCATCCCTCTGACACTATCTGATCGTACTGGATCCTAATCAGCAGGGCTCAGACCTCAATAATGACTCCATTAATACCTTACTTATGTTGTAGATGACAACAGGTCAGTTGGTTAAATGATGCTTAAACAGGAAATGCATGGAGTTTTATTCACAGGTCTAACAAAATGTCATGAAAGCAGCACTCGTGCAGTGACGCAGCTGTTCTTGTTGCTCAAAAGGCAAAAATAATATTATCGGGTTATTTTGTGGAGGGCAATAAGAAATGATTACATTGCCCCGTTGTTTTTTGTTTTTATTAGAGTGCAGCAGCAGCCCCCAGCCCTGTGATGGGAGGGATGCCTCCTGGTGAGGGCATGCCAGGAGGACCAATGCCACCCGGTTTTTTCCAAGTAAGTCCATCACTATGCTAATTTTACTGCTGCTGTTAAAAGATCCTACAATTTTAACATTCATCCGATGATAAAAACCTACTCAGACATCAGATTTCTAAAGCTCATGTCCTGTGAAAGAGTGAATTAATATTTTTTGCCTGTAGCTTTTAATCGTCGAGGTTTTGAATGTGTTCCACCTTGGTGTTTGTTTTGGTCCTGCATGTTTTCTGCTTCACTCTGCTCAGTGAACTTTTCATAAACATCACAGATGTTCTGTCAGCCTGGACTCTCCCCCCCGTGCTGTAAACAGGCCTGGCCATTTTTCCAAATAGAGAAATTGAAAGTTGCATCACCTACTGTAAACCAATACGCCATGAAGATAAAGTCTCTGCAGGCACCTGTGTGCAACTAACTCGTTAGGAGTGAAGACATCACTCTTCTGCCACTTGAGCAAATTATTCACAACAAATCCAATAGTTTTTTTTTTATCATGAACTAGAAACCAGTGCTGTGACTCATTATTTCATCATTCTTATACCAGAAGTCATTTTGATGTCTATATGAGTGCACACACACACGATCCATAGCAAAATCTAAGGAGGCGGCTCAATTAGACTCCTCACTTTGTCAGATCAGCAACATCAGCGCCTCAGTGCCAGTGTTTAGTGTTGTTATAAAGCTAATTGCATAGAGCTTAATTGATGCTGTTAATTCAAGGAAATTAGCACTGATAACATGCTGCATGCAGCAAGCTTCTTGATGTCTTTGACTGACAGGCATAAGAGCTCACATCCTCTCCATCAGTCTCTTCTCGCTCAGTCACGGCTGTCATTTGCTTGTTCTTCTCTGCTCAGTCTCACTCTTCTGCCGTCGGGCACATGAAAATGGGCATTTGTACATTTTGGCACCGCACTTTGGTTCTTCCTCTCCAACTGTCCTCTGCCCTGTAGTAACCCTGCGTCTCTCCCTACTTCATCTTGCTCCCTGTTTTCTCTTTTGTCTCATCCTCCCCTCTGTTCCTTTTCTGTACCCCCTCCCCCCTTGCCTCATTTTCTGTGATGCTGTAGGGTCCTCCTGGTCCCCAGGGTTCTCCTCACCCTCAGCCTCCTCCCCCTAACAGTATGATGGGACCTCACAGTCAGGTAATTCTATCTATCTTTCTCTCTCCTCCTTTTTTCCTGGTCTGCAGTCAGTTGGGTATGATGGTTCAGGTGCTTCGTGCTTTGGCTTTTCTCTGAGCTTTTGATGCTTATGCTGCTTTCAGTGTTCACACAACATCAAATGAGAAGTTAGAATACTGTAACATTTTATGAAATGTGCATAAGGTCTTAGAATGCTTAAGAAACGACTGTGTTTATGTTGTAGCCCTTCATGTCACCTCGCTTTGCTGGAGGCCCAAGAGGTCCCCCCATGAGGATGGCCAACCAGGTAGAGTTCATTCAGATATTCAAAACATGCAATATAGTTCTTCATCTAGCTCAAAGAACAGAAACCCTTCTGGAACTGATTTTTTATTATTCTTTTTGCCAGTTTTGAACCAGGAATTATTGATGGCAGAGGTTGAGTTTTATCCTAAGAATTCAATTCAGTTTATTTATTTAGCACCAAGTCACAACAGAAGTCATCTCAGGGCACTGAACTGAAACATATACTAGTCTAAGTCTATAGCAGCATAACAAGCCAACCCTAACTATAGGATTTATCAAAAAGGCAAGTCTTCAGCCAAGTCTTAAAAATGGACAACGTGTCAGCCTCATGGACAGAAACTGGAAGTTGGTTCCACAAGAGAGGAGCCAGGAAAATATGGGACAATAAGATCTGTAATATAAGATGGAGCTAGGTTGTTGAGGGCTTTGTAGGTTATAAGTAATATTTTGAATTCAGTTCTGAATTCTGAAGAAACAACTTAAATAATGATTGCCTCATCTAAAAAAGTGGCAGTCTAAAGGGATATTAACTGATGCATAACACATTGTTATATTCAAAACTGTTGTTGAGTTGGATTAATTGGTGTGTTGTTGTTGTTGTTTTCTTCTGTTGTTGTTTTCTTCCTTGTAGCCACCCGGCGGAGGACCAGGTCCTCATCCTATGCTGCCCAACATGGACCCAACACGACCACAAGGTACTGTTTTCCCCTGACTTCATTCTGCATCTCCTGTTCAAACATACAATTTCTCTGCCTCTTGGTTGAATTGGTTAATTTTAACCCTTCAGGTCATCCTAACCTGGGACCAATGCAGAGAATGAGTGGCCCTAGAGGTATGGGGCCCATGGGACCTGGTCCTCAGGTAAAGTCTCATGTTGACTTGCATTTTTTGAAATTCTAGTATGTAGTGTTGTATTTATTTGCTTGTTTGTTTATTAATTTGGTTGTTGGTTGTATCTACCTAGAACTTTGGTGGTGGCATGAGGCCTCCACACAACACCATGGGTCCTGGAATGCCAGGAGTGAACATGTAAGCCCCCTCCCTCTGATAATATTGTCACAGAACATTGAGCTTAATTGCAAAGACTAACCACAGTCGGTACTCTAGGGGTCCAGGGACAGGCCGACAATGGCCCAACCCCAACAATGCCAACCCTGTGAGTACTAATGCACACAAAAACCACAGTTGGAGAAATGTCGATTCAGATTGCTCTCAGCTCTTCTCTCTGAGCTTTGGAAGTTTTAGTCTGGCCTGTAATTGTAGTATTATGTGTCATGGTTTCCGCAGACAGCTGGACAGCCAGCTGTAATAGGGTTAGGATGATCAGATGATAAATGATAACAGTTTGAGGTGTTGGCACTCTTGCTAGGTCTATAATGTTTTTGTCTTTGGTTTCAGATGCCTTACTCATCACCCTCTCCTGGTGCATACGGGGTGAGAACGCATCATGAAATGTTGCACATTCAGCAGAAGTTGCCTCAATTTTAGGGTACATGGCTGTAATATGTCTGTATTTTCTGATTGCTTCTTCAAAGGGGGCATCCGGAGGAGGCGGTCCTCCAGGAACTCCCATCATGCCCAGCCCTGCAGGTTTGTGCTAAGCTTTAAAACTACAGACTTTTTGTGCTTTTTAAAAATAAAATTCAACTACAAAGTTGCTTTTTTGTATCCAGACTCCAACAACTCTGGTGACAATTTGTACACTATGATCAACACTGGACCTGGCAATCGAAATAATGTAAGTTCTTGCTTTTTATTCTAATTTTGATGGCAGCAATGGTGGATTTTGATTATCGAGTTAAGTACCAGTAAATGTACTGATATTTAGCATGACGTTATTAACAGAGACGAAAAGCATTGTTCAAGCAATGATCACAATCACTATTGTGAATTAAACAGATTCAGAAACTGTCTTCCCAAAGACATATTTATGTGTCTGTTGTTCTATATTTATAATGTGCACATAAAATGGATCTTTTTAAATGTTATTTTTACTGGTACAGGATCTTTATGGTATAAAACTGATCAAATTATACAATAACTTGAGCCACTTTATGTTGCGTAAGGAAAGGAGACTACAACAGAAAACAACATGTGCAGGCTTTTTGAAGAGTACCGTCATATAAACAAACTGGTTTCATGCCTAATACAATTGTCTTTGGGATATTTACCTCCTCTTTAAATTGAATGAGATATTATAAAATATTTTTAAAGACCCAACACAGGCATTTTTGTCTTTCTGATGCACCCATGCTGTGTGCCAGACCTGCACTCTTCATCTGGGAGCACATAAAATAGATTAATAATTGAAGCACAGCAAATGCACTAAGAATACTGGATCTGTTTGCAGGTTATTTGATACTTTAGGCTGCTGTTACTGTAACACTCTTAAACTGAAATGATCGCACCAAAGATAAAGGTTTCCAACAGAAAAGGTGTTTTATACCAGGAGAGTTAACACAGTTTTGTTAAATGGGGTTCTGAAAACTACACCTATTTACTTTAAACATGGGTCTCTTTAGGATATGCTGAAAATGTCATCAACACAATATTTACCTTTTTTTAAAAATGCTTATTTTTGACCTTTCTGACAAATTTCTTAAAGTAGGCTGTGGGTGGAGAATGGTGCAAAACGCCATCTACCGTTTCAAATCATGCTTCACTCTTCATGGGAAACCCCTCAATTATATGAATTTTAAACTTAAAGAAAAAAACACTGTTGGTCTTGGTATTTTGACCCTGTGTTTGAATTTGTGTGGTCAACAGGCATTTATTTATTTATTTTAAGATATGCCAACTAAGACCTGTCATTCATAGAAACATGTCACTTTTTTTTAACCCTCTGCTTAGTTTCACTGTTTTTACCATCTAAATTTAACTTGCTCATGAAGAACTACAAGACTCCCATCATTCCTTAATAACTTGTTTTCAAGGGTCACCCCTTTTCTTTTGGGCTTTCATTGTCTCAGTTTGAGTTTTAGCTTTGGATGCGGCTTAATTTTGAATTTATACGTCTCAGAAGCAATTTTACCTTTTGTCATAGTCGCGTCCACTTCTGGGGATACTGGGAAAAAGAAGTCCATCTGTAAAGAGCGTTCTGCAGCAGAGATTTAGTTTCTCTTCAGTTTCCTCTGCAACACTGAGCCTCACAATTGTCCTCCAAGTCACTTGTTGAGTTTTAACTTTTTTTTTTAGTTGGACATGGTGAAATTTACATTTTAATTTGGTTTAAATTTAATCCCTTTTTTTTTCTTTTCTTTTTTTTACCCTTCCAGTTCTCTATGGGCCCCGGCTCAGATGGGCCACTGGGGGCCATGGCTGGGATGGAACCACACCACATGAATGGATCACTAGGTAACAACTCACTGCAGCAAATGAAACCAATCCAACACAGAAACGCTTGGTTTGCACTACAGTAGTCCCTCACTACTTCGCGGTTTGTTTTTCTCAGACTCGCTCTATCGCGGTTTTTCAAAGTAAGATTGGACGTGACACACAATTGCCTGATTGATGGATGAGCTGCACGATCGGCATGGATTTTTTAAATTTTAAATAAATTATTTGAAATGATTTAGCACCAGTGTGCAGCTGATCAGCTGATCTCCGCTCTGCAGTGGAGAAGTGGGCGTGGCCGAGAGCACTGGCAGGTGGCAGAGAGCGTAGTAGAGGAACAACATATAAAAGCCTAGAGGGCCTTCTAGCTTCAACTGGTAATGTTTATTGGTTCATGTCTATGAATGAACATTTCAAATGTCAGTCAAAAATTGGGTTATAAATATGGGGAGATATTGGTCGTTTTGGTCTATAAATCGCAGGACTTGCAAATTTATGCAAAAGGGTGCGAGTTATATGCCGGAAAATACGGTACTGTTGTTCCTTCATTGCGTTTTTTCAGTTATGGCGGGGCTTCAGGGCATGGATCCCCTGCGATAAACGATGGACTACTGTAATTACACTTTATTTTCATTGTTCTCTAAACATTTGTTTAAAAAAGATTTGCTTATAGTTCATGTGTGCAAGCTGCTGTTTTAAATTGTTCATCAAAATATTTCAGGCTCTGGTGATATGGATGGAATGAACAAGGTAAATAGTGTCTAAACCCATTGTGTTTGCATCTGTGTATTTATTTACTGGTTGACGAGAAATGTAAACCTTATATTTAGATAAAAACACCTATGTTTTTTTATTTATTTATAGAACTCTCCAAACAATTTAAGTGGCATTAGCAATCCTCCTGGGACGCCAAGGGATGACGGGGAGCTGAGTGGAAACTTCCTCCACTCCTTCCAGAGTGAGAACGTGAGTTTAGTGTTTCTTCAGATTCCCTCCTCAGTTAGCAACACGGAACTGTAGCTGTAACGTTTTCATGAAGTTTGGGACAGATTATGTTGACCTAATCTAAATATTAACTTCACTACAAGAGAAATGGAGACACTGCGTTTCCTACAAAAAAAGCATAACGATCAATGAGTGATGAAGAAAACCAGAACACTAGCTAAAAGCTAAAATGAGCAAAACACTAGCTAAAAGTCAAAAGTAGCAAAACACTTGCATGTAAGTAAAATGTAGGTTAAAAGTAGCAAAAGACTAGGTAAAAGTTGAAGTTGGCTATTCAATCATCGGGGGGTGTCACTGGTGCTCATATCCATCTGTCACTGTGCAAGAGGCGGGGGACACCATGTACAGATCTCTAGTCCATCACAGGGACACATGGAGACAAACGAGACAAACAACCATTCACTCTCTCACTCACACCTGGGGACAATTTAGAGTTACCAATCAGTGTAACCTGCATGTTTTTGGTCTGTGGGAGGAAACCGGAGTATCTGGAGAAAACCCACGCATGCACGGAGAGAACATGCAAACTCCACCCAGAAAGGCTCCTAGCCGGGATTTGAACCGGCGACCTTCTCGCTGAGAGGCGGCAACTCTTCTCAAGCGAGCTACCTGACGTAGGCTAGCTAGCATGACACATCTAAAATAAAAGCTAGCTGTAACATCAAAGCATCAAAAGACTAGCCTGACAGAAGTTTAGCTAAAAGATGCAAAAGTCAAACTAAAAATAGCTAAAGGCAGGCTAAAAGCTAAATGTAACAAAATGCTAGCTAAAAGCTAAAATTAGCCAAACAAAAGTTATAAGTAGCTTAAGAAAACCGTAAATATCTTGATGCAGAATTCAAATCTGTATTCTGTAAATATTTTGAAAAATATAAACATCACTAAAACAAGTCATAGCATCCACCTCCCAAAATAAGTTAAACATTTTACAATATGAATGGCTCAAATAGCCCAAAGTATGTCGAAGTCTCTGGATCACTAAAACCATTCCAGTAGTGTGAATGTTGGATCCACATCGAGAGCATTGAGGGTGTGTGACTCTGAGACGCTGTGTGTGGTTGTCTGTCTTAATCTTGTCCTCTCTGTGTCTCTGCAGTACTCTCCAACCATGACGATGAGTGTGTGACCCTGCCCCCACATCTTTCCTCTCCTCCACCCCGACCCAGCATTATTTGCCATCATTCCAAGGATCTGAACTCACAACAGAACATGGCCAAACTCATCAGCGCCAAATCAGGGACAGGCGCCATTTTGGTTCCACACTAATGCCAGAATGCTGATTGGAGAGAAATCTTACTCAAAATGAAGGACTATTTCTCCATTTATTACCATCACGTGACAAAACCAGCTACTGAAATGCATTTACGACACGTTTTATGTTATTTCCAGACCCCTCCGTCCCCTTGTCCCTCTTGAATCCCATCAACCTCCTGAGCGAACAGGGAAAAAAAATGGTTGAAGTTTACCTCTTGTACATTTAATGATCGCTTTGTGGTGCAAGATGTGCAGGAATTATCCACTTTTGTCATTTAAACACTGGAGAGTGTGTATATGCATTGTGAGCTTGGAAAGTCTTTGTCTTGTTGTTTTTACTTTGTTGCCATGCATTCTGTCTCAAAATGTCGATGGACATCGGACTCAGAATTTGCCTTTTAAACTCATCGATGTATCATTCTTCCCAAACCCATCCTTCTTTTCAAAGAGATTTTTTTTAGAACATGTTTGAGAATTATGGCTTTTATTGTGACGACCTTTCGGGCCACGCCAGTGCTCGGTTTGTACGACGTCGTATCGATCCCGTTTGATCCTGACAGCTAAACCGCTCGGCGCTCGCAGCTGTTTGAGTCGAACGGCCAGACCGCTGCTGTTTGCTGTCAAGAGAAGCCAGACGTTGACATAAGGAAGTGAGTGCATGAGTGCTGAGAATCTGTGTACAACATACTACCTAGTGCTGCTCTTCTCTATGTGGACACCTGCTTTAAGATGTGGTGTGTATCTCTTTACCTGCCTGTGCTTAAACACTCTGTGCTCCTCATCGCCGTAGCCTTCTGCGTTCTGTCCATTTCGGTTGAGCATCGATAAAACGGCTATGGATGAGTCGCCTGTTTTAGCCCGTTGGTTGTTCATACGTCCCTTCTGTACCTCTGGTTGTCTCTTTAGCCCCAGTCCCTCGTCCACCGTTTTTTATTTTTATTTTTGCTCACCCATGTGTTTTAGTTTTTTATATTTTGATACAATCTTTGACTACGTATATTGCCCAAGTTATTCAGTTGGAGCTTTCTGAACTGATTCTAGTAGGCATCATGATAAACTTAGCATCAGTCTTGTAAATGTGATGAGAATTTTCGTTTCATTATTTTACCTGTGAACATTATACACATCTGTCCTATGTTGCCTTTATTTGCTGATATTTTTTTATTTCAAATTGAGGAAAGATTGCTTGTTAATATAATTTTACAATAACTTACATCACTGTGTGGGCTGTTATTTTCGTCAAGTGTGTATATACGCCGAAAAAGTAACGTCTATTCATGCTAAGTTTATCTGTAGGTGTTGCATGGATGGAAATGCTCTAAACCATATATTCATACTTAAAAAAACATTGAGGAAATTATATATTTTTTTTACCTCCTCTCGTCAGTGAGAGTTTTAAATTTTATCTTGCCTGTTTTTTTTGTTTTTTTTCACTCTGCTTTGGTCTAACCAGCAGACTGGAGCTTCATTTTTACAAATAAACCTAAATAAGAAGAGCCCTAAAATGTATCTTTCTAAGTGGACCCTTTTAGCTTTGATCCTAAGGTTGCACTGTAGGAACCAGGTTATCAAGGTAGAACTTTACCCCAGAAAATAACCTGCTACTTTTGAAATTACTTGCCTAATCTACCCTGTAGCTCCGATTGATGGGAACGGTGGAAATGATTAGGTTAAAAGGGTTTTGGTAGAAAGTCCACCTAAGCCAGGTGTGTCCAAACGTTTTCACATGTGGGCCAAAACTATCCTGATTAAAAGACTTGTGGGCCACAAAAATATAAATTTAACTCAACGTGAGCAATATTTTAGAGAAAGGACAAAAGTTTACTGATTTTGTTGAAGAAAACTTTTTAATTTCCAAAACGTTAAAAGCTTCATAGACACTAAGGCTATATTTTATAATTTTAAAGGATTTGATTTGTTGTTCATTTTAGTCTGCTCTCTTGAACTAAAGTGGAATTTAAGTAAATGTCCTTTTAAAAGGGGGTCGATCGGTCTTTTGGACCATGGACGACCCAAAAGGCTGATCGAAGTGCTGAAGAATCGTCCAGCTGTCGGTCGCTACAACAGATTCATAGAACGTTTGATAAAGTTGATCAACCCGTACTGTAGATGATACCACGTTCTATTGATTTAAAATGTCCAATTTCCCTTTTGATTATTTTATCAACCAATATTTAGTCAAGTTTTATGACTTATTATCGAAAAGTCTCCTTTCTGGTAGAAATCAGTAAAGGTTTTTGGTGCTTTGTACCATGAAGTGATAATAAAACATTATAGCCAAAGGTTTGTATTTTGTTAGATATTGTTCATTTTGAGAAAATTGTTTTTCATACATTTTGCTACCTAAACAATATATATAAAGGATCACCGACTAATTTGCAGAAAGTCTGCATCGACCTCTAAAACCTGCTGGTCAGAGTGATACCGTTCGTAATCGAGTTGTGGGTCATAAAATCACTCCCAAGGGCCACAAATGGCCCTCAGGCCGCACTTTGGACATCCAAGACCTAAGTTATTACGTTGTAACAAAAAGTTCTTAAAGAAGTTCATTTACTCATTATTTATCAAGTAGTAATTGGAGAGTTGTGGGCGCTATCTGGAAGCAGTGAAATGTGGTTTATTTTTAACTAAAAGATGGTTAAATGAATCAGTCCACTGATTAATCAGCCTGGATATAACTTTCCTGAAAATAATCAGCCTGGATATAACTTTCCTGAAAATAATCAGCCTCAGCAAAAACTGAGTCAACTAAACTGATTGATGCAAGTGTTATTGACACCACACTCTTATTTCAGTCTCAAAACACTTCCTACAATGGTGTTTTTTTTTTATTGCATGCATTCTTATTTTTACGGTTTGCTCAACAATGATTAAACCAAAAGAAAGTTGACCAGAAAATTGTAACACTTTAACTTAAAAAAAATAAAAAAAATAAAAAATTGGGAGGATGGGTTTGGATCTGTATTAATTCCTAACACTCATCCAAATTTCTTGTCAGTTTCTCTTTTCTGTTTTCAAAATCTAGACATCTGTAAAGCAAAAGAACACGATTTTATAGTTTAAACATGTAGTTCTCTTAATCGTTAGGTTTTTTTCTGTTAATCCCATTAATTCTGATGAAATTAAGCCTTTCAGTAATCTAATGACATATTCACTTTTCCTGATTCATTTGATGATTTTATTACAAAAAAAACCCTGTTTTACAGTTTTCGAAAGAATCTGGCAACATTTCTGCCAAACATGACTAACAGCCTCGTGTTATTTTATCCATGACGTCACATTGCCCTCTGCTGGACTTCAGTGGACTCTTCATGTTGTGCAGACTCTGGACCTTCATCCATCCACACTTGTTAAAAACTGGTGAAGCTCTCAGTTTTAGTTTACTTGCCAAGATGAAGATGTGCACGGTAAGGAGTTTCCAGCTGGAAGGCTCCCACTGTATTCTGGTTTCTGTCTCGTCTAAAGGAAGTCAGGTGACACTGCTGGTTCGTCTCCACGGGATGTTGCCCGTCTGAGCAGGAGCCACAACTTCAGAGCTGAGAGAACAGCACAAACACAAAACACCTCACTGGAAAACATTTGTTGATCCTACTCACCGTAGCTTCCTCATTTGGTGTCTTAAAACATATTCAGGTTTCTGCATTAACTCAGAAACAGTGCTGGCCCAAGCCTCCATGGGGCCCTAAGAGAAATTTGGTTTGGGGCCCTTTATTTCTACTCATAATGTGGATTACTGCAATCAACAGTCATGATCAGATCATTCACCCACCTAACGTAAGCTCATTGCAGCTTTACATTATCCTATATGTATATATTATAGTGGTACTAAAAGTAACGGGAAAAAAAAAACCCACCAGTATACAATGTATTTTACAGCAAAAGTGTCATCTGGTTTATTGTCTTTGGTTCCAAAGAACTGCAACACTAATGTTCAAAATAATTTGTAGTGCAAGATCAACAACAAACAACAGATAAAATAACTTAGATGCATAAAAATAAATTAAATTGTGCAAAAACCGTCAAAATAAAATATCAATGAAATACTTAATAAATGAACAATTATTGGAAACCATGTAAATGTTTTTTTTTTATTAAAGTTGAATAATTAATTCTTAAAACTATGTAAATGTATGCAATAATTTGCAAAAGCTGAACTTAAACTATTAAATACAATCATATAGAAATCATTAAAAATAATAATAAATTCCACTTAGGGGGGCCCCTAGAGGCCCTGGTGCCCTAAGCAGCCGCAGTTTGCTTATGCCTTGGGCCGTCCCTGCTCAGAAGAGCTCATATTAACAACATGCAGCCATTTTTTTGGTTGATTTAATCATACAATTTTATAATAAAATCCACAGAAGCAAAACCAAAAATCATAAACTTAGTCCAGTGTTGAAATAAGAACAGATTGTTTTCTTTAATAAGCTAAAATCAACCTGATCAAGTACTGAGCTACAAAAGCATTTATTGGTTTTGAAACATTAAGGACACTGACTGGAGTCAGCTGATGCGCTGCAGATAAAATAGTTACTAATTAACTGAAAGCAGGCTGAACGCAACGCTCCACAGCCCAAACCTGTGTGTGCAGAGGTGGAAGCTGTGAAGTGCTCGCACGCCGTGCAGCTTTTATCACCACGAGACATGACCAACATGAACTGGACTGCAAAACCAACTCAAACCTGGGCACCAGCATTAGACCCCCGTGGATCTGTAATAGGTTTAATCTGTTTTCATGTGTTCGGGGGGGGGGGGGCTTCTAATTGAACAAGAAAGATAAATTGTTTGAATAGTTCAAACAATGACAAGCACAATGGGGCTTTGAGCAAAAAAAGTGGGGATTTTATGCAAGAAGTTTTTTTCTGAATGATCTTGTTCATTTTAAATGAAAAAAATAAACAAAGAAGACCTTTGTGTGGCACAATGTTTATTCTGCTAATACAAAAAAAATCCTGCTTTTAGGTGAACTTTCATCAAACAACAGTTTTCAGAGATCTGCGCTGTAACCGAGTTGGAGGGAAGTAGGGATGCAGAGGGTGCTGCAGCACCCCATAATAGATGCAGATAAGACATGCATGTCCAAATACATATTTAAATAATGAATACAACCTAGATTTAATTAACAATGCTTATATTCACATTTCAATAATTGTTGCATGTTATTGAATTTTGTCAATTTGGTTGTTAAACTGTTATCATTTATCTGTGTTAAAAGTTTTACTGCCTAAAAGACACAGGAGTGTAGGCAGATCAGCATTAGGTCATAATTGTAATTTTGTTGATATTGTCTGGCCAAAATATACAGCACATTGATGTATGCATTTCACTGCACATGTATGATCTTCATATGAGAGCTTGGCTTTTAGAAATTCATGCACGCTCACCGTCCCAGAGCGTTGACTATACCAATAAATCTGTGGGAGTAAACTGGCTTCACTGATCCACAAAGTAAAAACCACAGATGTTAAATTAACTGAAATATTAAGAGCTTTAAAACTTTAAAATGACAAG